GTCACCGAATACCGATTTCAAAAAGGTCTATTAGTTTTTATAGGAAATGGAAAGAGAAAGAACGCTTTTTAAACAAGTTAAAATTCTTTACTAATTTTGCTGTTTCTTTTCGACGATGTCCGGTTTTCTTCTTGTTTAAAATCGATAACTATAAACGGATTAAGGTATTTGTACCGTGTTAAAAAATTTAAGAAAAATTTTGAAGAATATTTCTTTTTTTAAAAAAAATGCTAAACTTTGACAAACATATAAAATATTCTAAAAGATAAATCATATTTATGTGATTATGCAAAAATTTTATTTATGTTTCTAAAATAATATGGATTGTCCTCTAAAATATATAAAGTGGCTCGCAAAAAATCTGCTTTTTATGTGTTACTTTTTTCAGAAAATGTTATTCCTGATAAAACTTGGTGTTTAATTAAACCTAAAACTTTATTTCTTCAAAAAATTCTGTATCATAAATATAAATTTGGCTGCACAGTGAACTAGGTACTCTTCTAGGAACCGAATTCACATTTTTACATATAAGATTAATTTAAGAAGATATATATATATATATATATATATATATATATATATATATATATATATATATATATATAACTCCACATAGTAGTTTTTTAGTCAATACAATTAATACAGATTATTATATCCTTTTTAACCTACTTCAAAAAGGAGGAGGTTCTCAATTCTTCTGTATATATTTTTTATGTATGTTTAGCGATAATTCTTTAACACAATGTCCGATTTAAATGATTCTTTTTTGCTCGAAAAGGGTACTTCCGGGATGGTCCCATATAAATTTGGTCCATGAGAAAATCCTCAAACTTTTCATTTTTTATGTATGTTTAGCGATAATTCTTTACCACCTTGTCTAATTTCTATAATTATTTTCGTTAGTAAGGGAGTAACTCAGGGGTGGTCCCATATATATTTGGTTAAGATGTAGTGATGGCATCTGCACCATTTTAAAGTCTGTTTTTTAAAAATTCTTTTGATACTTGTTACATAAATTAAAAGTTTAATAATTTGGTGCTTTCTTGATGCGTCGTTTTATGATTTAACTTTGTATTTGTTTAAATTACTGGCAGTTTATTTTATATCATTAAAATAATATTTTGTTAATCCAAAAAAGGCAAACAAAAAAGCCATGTCACATTCAGAGTAATAACAAAAATTAGATATATAAATATAGTATATTATGTACCAACAGACTAAACTTTCACTTTCAATCACTTTTTGTTGTAAAAGACTTCTAAATTTTTTACCAGTGACGTCCGTACCGGGTTTGAACTGAATATTTTTGAACAAAAATAAGGTACGCCACTGCTTTTCCTAAAAACCAAAATTATCTTTAAAATCCTTATTTATTTTGAAGAATATTTGGTTTATAAACGTACTTTCGTACGACGCACCCTTTTCGCGTAAGAAAATAAAAACCAGTTTATTGAAACTGCTTTTGATATTTTGTTGAAATTTGGTAGGAACCCACCATGAGTGGAAACACTTTTTTTTGGGCAAAATTTCACAAAAATATCTAGAGTGATAAGAAACTTATGATAAAATAGTTATTTTTTTCTTGAAACTTTAACACCCAGCGATTTACACCCTTAAGTATCGGCACTCAATTAATAAATACCCTGTATTAATTGATATTACCTTATTCGAACCAATCGTCTATTTTTTCGTTCGTTAAATAAAAAAGTTGCATTTCGGCCGGTCGCCCTTTTTGGCATATTTAAATTAAGATTAGAGTTACATTTCGGCCGGTCAACCTTTTTGGGATAATTAGATTAAGAATACTTAAATAATATCGGCCGTTTGTTTATATATTTTAAACTTGTTAATTTTTTAGCATAATATACAAACAGTTAAAAGAAAAACAAATTAAATAAACTCAAATTCTTTATTACAATATTTTTTAGAAAAAACAATCCAATGATACAATAAAAAATCAATAAATAATACACAGTATGACAACACAATTTTACTCAAATTTAGTAATGTACATGAATTTGTTCAACGCATTTTTTAAGTCAATATTTTTGTCCCTTAAATCATTAATGTTTTTTTAATTCTAATATCAATATCAACGTATTTTTTTAATCTTTTTGGAGTTGGTATATATAGATTTATTTTTTGTAATTTAATTATATTTAAAGCAGCCGCCCCTTTCAATACAGTTATTAACTCGAAAATGTTTGGATGACTTTTCCCAATTTTTTTATTTAATTTACTATGCCATCCTTCCACTGCGTTTGTAGTCCGATGTCTGTGCCCCGAACATATCCAAATATTTTGGATAATTGGATTATCTAACCATTGTGAAGTAAAATAATCATTAAATTTAATAACTAGATCATTCCTAGGTGAAGTTTCCATTATAATCAGCCATCCCTCATCGATATTTTCTTCGGGTAAATGAGCCAGAGCAGCACACATTCTAATATGATTTCGTATTTCACTTTGAATATTTATGAGCATTTATTTAATACTCATGTCTATTATTTTTTGAACATAATTTGGTATTTCTAGTAATAATTATGCATTACCAAGCAATTACTGATAATAAAGTTCAGGTACAAATTGGTTTTCTATTAGAGATAATCACCCTTTAAAATGCCCTTAACACTTCGTCTACAATTATTTCTTAAATTAAACGACTTGAGTGACAGTTTTTGGAAATACATATCTTATTGCGTTTATTGTAGCTACTTCAAAATCCAATTTAGGTAAATACTTTCGGAGAAAAAATTTTAAACTTTGAAACAAGCAAGGACAAAATCTTATATAGGTTTTCTTTTCCTTATTCGGCAAAAGAGCAAAAATGACCGAAATAATAGAAGAACTATCCTCGGTACTTTTTACAATTAAAAAAAAATAATAAAGAACAGCTCTTACATGCTCAGTCTCCAAAAAATACTTCACATATTTTAATAAAGATTCACATACGTTAATAAATATTAACATTTCGTCTTCAACACCGTCTTCTATAACTAAAAAGTTGTCCGCTAATTGTAGTGGCAACACAATTTCAGATCTGTTTCGGTAATGAAACATTTCCAAATATTTTTTGCCTTAAATTGAACGACTTGAATATTTTTTTATAATTAACTCTGCTCCCAAAATTGCCAAACCAAAGCGTAATTGCCACCCTGTACTGTACATTGACCGGCCGAAATGCAGCGTATCCGTTTTACCTGAAACGCATGAAAAGGACAAGCGGCCGAAATGGGACAAAAAGAGGTAGATTTTTCAAAACGGGGATATCACCGTTTTAAATGCAATTAAGGTGTCAACAAAATTATTATGTATTGAAAACATCGCTCCGTATAATACTAAGGAAATCGAAATTTAAAAAAAAAATCGGTAAACTAAATAGTGCTTAATTTATACGTCCCATTATTGCGTAATTGTTCGATATTTCAATTTGTGTTGAGAGACACGCAAAAAAAAGTTTCATCAAAAAGTTATATGGATTTAAATAAAGCATACTTGAAAAATATTTTTGAATATACAGTGTGTTCCGCTTTTGTCTGTCATATAAAAATATATGTTTTTTAAACATTGTTTATTTTATTTCAGTTTTAAAATGATCTAATAATACCTTATTTAATCCTACAATATTTTTGAAAAATATTACAGGTTGTCAATCATTTAATTTGTTAGTGAAATTAAAGTATGATAAATAAAATTATCATAATTTAGGTAGGTTAGCAATGATTTTAAAATAAGATACAAAGCAAACAAATAGTGTTGATACAACTGGTTCATTTTATACAGTGTTTAGAAACGTGTCAGAAATATGGCTTATTTTAAGTTGACCTTACTCAAGTTTTTCAAATGGAACATTATATTTTATTTTAGCATAAGACTATTTACAAAATGACCTATTTAACAACGATACCAGAGCTTATATGATCGATAGCTGTTTTATAATTGGAGATACGAAGCATTTTTAATTCAAAACATGTATGACTATATTTGACAATTATTCTTAAATATACAGGGTAGTTCGTAAATGAGAGGCGTTTTTAAATCAAAACACCCTGTAGGTACTTCAATTAATTAATTTGTGGTATAACATTAAAAATTGAGAAATCTCACGTTCTGACACACCCTATATACATAGAAAATGTAAAAACAATCAAATATGTGTAACTACCTGCTTTAAAAAAGTATAAGTTTGGTCAGTCCCTCGTTTTTGAACCACCCTGTATATTTAGGAATAATTGTTAAATAAGGCCATACAACTTTTATATTAAAAATGTCTGTATTTCCAATAATAAACAGTTATCGATCAATTACGCACATAAACATGTTTTCGACGGATAGGTAAATTTATATAGTAGTTTGTTCAAGAGTGGATTTTGACAATCCAGTCGAGTTGTACAGTATATTTTCTACGACTCAATAACGAAAATCTACAAATATTAAAAATTATTTTAAGTCATTAGGATAAAATACCTAATTTAAACATAATTTATGACTTACTAATTTATAAAATTGAATGTACAAAAAAAAAGAAAAATTAATTTAATTTGTCCCCTCCGAGATTCGAATTCGGGCTTTCCGCTTGGAAGACAAGTGCGCTGATCACACCACCATCTACGCCGGTCAAGTGGTTTGCTTTAATACTCGTAATTGAATTGACTTCATATAGATTTATTTAAATTTACAAATTATTATTTGTAATATTTTTTGATCGAAGAATATGCAACGAAAGGTCAACAACAGTGTTATTTTACATCTAGAAGTAATCGCCCTCACTCGGACAAAGTAGGGTACGGGACGGAGTGGAATGCCGTCATCACCTCGAACCAATCATGACAAAGGTAGACAAAGATGGGGAATATCATGCCGCTATGCATTTTCTTAGGATTAGCCCACTAACCCATATTATTTGCATTATTTTACGGAAGAGGGTATTTTGTTAAGATTTTACTCGAGCGCGCTCAGTTTCTGTTATTAGTGAGGTTTTAAGTGTAAATATCAATATGGCAAGGAGTTACAAAAGAGGAAATAAAAAGCGTCTATACTTAAATGCTTACAGAAAAAAAAAAGGGGCTGCAGCAAATTTACTAAATTGGTAAGATATTATTTTTACTATTAATATTATTATTATTATTTTTACTATTAATATTATTATTTTTTTTATTTTTTAATTTAGTCATCGGCATCAACTACTAAGGGGGCGTCCATTAATTACGTGAGGTGTTCAAGGGGGGGAGGGGATAAAACTAAATCTTTCTAAATCTCTTAGGGGGGAGGGGGGGTTTTCGTAAATCTCACGTAATTTTTTTTCTAGTAGAAAACGGTGTAAAATTGCGTGAAAGTAAAGTTAAATTATAGTAAAAGTATTTCTAGAATAAAATATGGAAAAATCTTATAATTATGTTTATTTACAACCATATATGTAATGTTGTCATTACTAACGTCATTGAAGGTTGGGAAGTGTCACATTACACACCTCTACTTTTTTTTTATAATCCAACACATTTACACCCAAAACACGAATTTTGAAAAATATCACGTGAGATTAGGGAAGGGGGGGAGGGAGTTAAGGAAAATCTTACCAAATCTCGCCAGGGGGGGAGGGGGAGTCAAAAAATCCTCAGAAATACCTCACGTAATTAATGGACGCCCCCTAAGATTATTAGTCTCGGGTTCTGCGTAGGGTTCGTCACTGATTCCAAGCACGACTTTAGGAAAAGCACTGTTAATTAGACTCTAACAGTAAATGGTCAAGTGGGAAATCCTGCCTATGTATTAGGATTATTTTTTAATTAAATTAAGTAAAAATTTTGTCACCGGCAGGATTTGTACCCGATTATTATTAATATATTTTACAAAACTATTTGATTTGTACCTATAAATTGATTAAAATCGGCGATTAATCATTAGATAATACATAAATTATTATAAACTAGCGAAAATTACCGAATTATATTAATTTTGAGAGTGTTCAATGGGATGGCAAAAAATTGATAGAAACATTGATTGAAAATACATTTTATTGAATGATATTTGATCGAAAATATATTTTATCGAATAACATTTGATAGAAGATATATTTTATCGAAAAGACAATAGATCTAAAATTCATTAGAATGAAAGCACAATATATCGAAAATCGGCAGTAAAACTAGTAAAATATAAAAAAATCAAACGACACCATGCAACCGTCCATCTAGTCCCTATTACCGGGAAAACTAAACTAAGCGGCTGTAAATTAGGCCATAATGGCACATTTTTTGATAATTTCAAAACCTGATTTTAGAAATGTTATCTCTACAAAACTGTTAATTTACAAATTAATGTTGTCAGAGCTAAACGATTATTTATCGTTATTGAGACTAAAGCATTGTGATTAATTCGAAATAAATATGTATTTCAGTAAGGTCGAGTTGCCTTTCGATGGGACATTTTAGGTAAATTATTTGAAGTTTTTTCTTTATAAAAAACTTACTAATCTACCTAATCTGAGATTTCGCGATTTGCAAAAAAAAAATTATACAAAAGTGAGAAAATTCAAAAAGAACTTAATTAATTTACCTAACCTGTGCGGCATGGAGCCGTCGAGGATTGCTTCACAAAAAAATAATACACAAAAATGAGAAAAATTAAAAACTTTAAATTTAACTGATTACTCTCGCACAGGTTAGCTTAGTTTTTTTTTTTTATTTTTCTATTTCTTCTGTATTTTTTTGCGAAGCAACCAGCGTTGGCTCTTTGTCGCATTGGTTGGGTAAATTATTTGAATTTTTTTTTTGTTTTTTCTAATTTTTTGTATATTTGGTTTTTCGATCAATTGTTTTCTCTATCAAATCTATTTTCGATCATTTTTCTTTTCGATCAATTGTTATTTGATAAAATGTTTTTTCGATCAAATTTTTTCGATCAATTTTGTGCCACTCGTTCTATTGTAGGTACTTAGAAATTCACCTTTTGCTTATTGGCGATGCCGATGTGGCGTTAAATAGTACCTAATATTTATAAATGCAATCGAATGGAATTTTTTTTTTTGGGGAACTTAAAGGGTCTCGCGCTTTTTTAAGGAAATTAGTTTTTTTTTTGTTGAATATTAGATAAAACCAAATAAAGCTTTAAGTCTTGGTCACAGTAAATTTATTGAAAAGTAATTTCAGTTTTCAATAAATTTATTGTGTGGGACACTAGTGCCACGTTTGTATCTAAGAAGGTAGGATATAAAATATGTAGGAAGTAGGTAAATAAACTTAAAATATTAAATATATAATACAATTCTGTAAATATTATACCTATTGTATTTATATAAAATATTTGAGGATAAAACCCTTTATGGATTATAGGTAAAACTCTTAATCTCATTTAACAGGTATTAATAGTAATTTCCTGGATTTTATTCAAAGGGTTTTACCCAAAATCTCATTAAACAGGTGTTGGCGTCTTTGAATAGATAGGTGAGTTCAGCATTTCTTTATAGTTCTATATATAAAATCGTAGGCTGAGTTACACACCTTTTTAATTTCTATTGAATTTACCGATGACCGTAATGCAGAAAATAAATTGTTCGAATCATTTAAAACGCAATATTGAAAATAACCTAAGATTGCTAGTGAAAAAAACTAATAATGTAGGACCTGTTCCAGTAGCAGGCAGAAAAATGTTGGAACGGAACATTTGCAGAATAGAAGCTGCAATAAGACAAGCTATAAGATATAGAAAAAATGAACTCGATATCGCGTTTCAAGACAAAATAAAAAGAATATAAACAAAGATGTTTTAAACACACCAAAACATGTTTTCGGTGATCACACAAATTGTGACCAATATTTTTGTTCTGGCAATAACCCATCAGACAATACAATAATTAACACTTTAAAAGAAAGTGGACTTTGGATTCATATTTGTAAAGAATTACAAAACTTTGCAGACCAAAGCTACAGCCTTATTTATGACGTCAGCACAAATATCGCAGAAAATTTTAATGCTGTCGTTGCAAAGTACATAGGTGGGAAGCGTATATCCTACTGTTCCAGAGGGTCTTACAATGCAAGATGGCATGCTGGTGTTAAAGGTGTTAATGACGGAAGAACTTTACATGAAATGTTGCAAAATAAGTTGACAGGGAAGCCAACTGGAACTTACACAATGAAATATATAAAAAAAAAGATCAAAGAAAATGTGAAGACGGTAAAGAGACTAAAAACCTACAAGAAGCATGAAAAAAGATCAAAAAAGGGCAATAAAGAAGAATTAGACTATGGATGTTCTAATATTTCCTATATTTCGCTGTTAGAATTGGAAGAAAAAATGCATGAGTTTTTGAAGAAACTAGATAAAACACAATCAGAAATAAACGATTTAGAAAAAGCTACGATAGAACAAAATTGTGCACTTTGGTATGCTGAACGAAGAATGCGACTAACAGCTTCATGGCATGGAGCAATAAACAAAATGCGAGAAGACACAAATTGCGAAAATAATGTCATAAACATATTATACAAACCTTTTAAGGGAAATACAGCCACCAAGTATGGGAAATCCAATGAAGATGTAGCAACAAAAACTGTGGCTTAGAGTATTGGGAACGACATTAAAAAGTGTGGTCTTTTTATTGATAAAACCTTGCCTTTTATTGCCTCAAGTCCGGATGGCCTAATAGATGAAGATGATCTATTAGAAATAAAATGTCCGTATAATAGTAAAGATTATACGCTACAAGAGGGAATAGAAAAAGGGCTCATAAAATTTGCAGTAATTAAACCTGATGGAGTTATGGAATTGAAAAAAAATAATAACTGTTACTTTCAAGTACAAAGGAGGTTTACGACATCACCCAAGGATTCACATTCCTAAGTATTGCCACTCAATTAATAAACACCCTGTATAATTATATTCCTACAATATATATTTATTTTTAAATATATAATTACGCACTTACAAATATATTGTGGGCGTCTATTTTTTGCAAATTCGTGATAACTGAAGCGAGTCCAGTATAGATTATATTTTATTAAAACAAAAAATTAACAAGGTCCGTAACTACGGTCAATTCAATAATAATAAACGTTTTAATTTTTATTTTATTTTTCACTCCCTAATAAATATTGAAAAATATATTAAAATCTACTTTTTTAAAAACTATATATTTGGAATTAGTCGATTTTTTTTGTACGCCCACGTTATATTTATTTTGAGCTGCACGGTCCCGTATAAATATTTGCAAATTGTGGCCTACGCCACGTAGACTAGTGCGGCTCTGGCTTCAAAAGTATAACAAGCGCAGGTATGGGTAGGCGGGACATTGTTATCTCCTAAACCTCCCTTGCCGCACTACACTTCCGAGGTAAGATTTTCATTTCGTACATGCCGAATTGGCGAACGTAAACCTTAAGACCACAGTACCACCCCCAATATTCGTAACATGAACTAATTTTGATAGATGTCATTTATGTGTCATAAATTAAGAATCCTTTTGTTCAGCAGATGGAGCAATATTCCATATTTAATAGTTCTTTTGTTCAACAGATGGCGTAATAATTTTATTAGTTCTAAATGGTAACTGTTATAAAATACCTAACAAATTCATCACCCCTAGCTACTACGCGATAATAACTAAACGAGTTCTTGACCTTGACAAATATTTTCGATGAAACAGGTATAAAAATAAAACTTTTGCATTAGATTCGGCACGTCGGTATATTTATTTAGTAGCAGCGTTGGGTTTATTAGTACAATTGTACTAGATTCAGTACATTTCAACCATTCATAAATGCTAGTACCACAAAAGACAAAAGTATCTAAATCTAGTACATTTTAAATATTTCGCTGGATCTTCTAGAATAATGTATTCTATGATTTCCAATTTCTATGCTAGACAGTAGATACTTCTGATACTCCCAATGCGATACTTTATACCAGGGAGGCTATTTTCAAACTCGAGAAAAGTCATTCCTCTCAAGAGAAATGTCATAATATGTCAACGTAAAACAGTATTTTTAGGGCCCTTGGGGCCAGTGTGAACTCACAGATTGTTTCTCTTGGTTTATTTAGAGGGAATACAAATTCTCGTAAGAATTTTAATCCTCGAGGCCTTTAAAACAGCGTTTCCACATTGACGTACGACATTTCTGATGAGAATCTTGAGAGAAATGAGTGCTCCCATACTTTGAAAATAATGGGTAAGAGATAAGGGAGTATGAGTCTTCATATAAGGGACATAAATATAAGATACGCTCCTAAGCATATGCTTAACAACCACCAGCTCGAACGCAGTTAACATCTGGCCCACTATGTGTCGCTATCATCGATATCAAACAAATAACCCAGCGGGAAATTTAAAAACCTGATAAATATCGACTACACTTTCATGTTCTAGTAAATAAATTTAAACATTGTTAATTACGGTAAATTATTTATTAAAAAGAATACTACACTTACAGTCTATTATAGATTAATTATTGTAAATCTATTGACATAACAAATATTTTTTAATTTTTACCCTTATTTTATTTGTTTTTCTATAAAAAATAAGTGTTTGTTTTTATTTTTAAATTTTATTATTTAACCATATAAAAATATATTTTTGTTTTACGTATTTTAATTTATATTTTTTTGTTTAAAATAAAGTTTATTTTGGTTTCTTTTTAAATTTTTTATTTACCAACGTAAGAATATATTTTTGTTATACCCATTTTATTTATTTTTTGGTTTAAAATGAGTTTGTGTTCTCATTTGAAATTTATCGCCAAATCTAGTACGTTCTGGTACAATCACGATCTGAATTTCAGTACAAGCTGTTGCTACTAAAAACCCAACGCTGTTTAGTAGTTCATTCTTGTGTCCAATCAACAAAGGACAACGGTCTTCGTATCATTACGTAGGGACCACTTATACTATACATAGTGTTTCGTTAAGAATGGGATATAGAACAACTGACGATTCTCTGATTAAAAATAAGACAACTAAACAAATCATGCTTAGATAAAATGTTTCTTGGTACCGAGTTAAGGTGTTAAAATCCAAAAAATATTTATTGCTTTATTTTTTTTATTACTCACAACAATTTTACTAAATTTGGCAAACGTTTTTGGTGTCAAATTATCCACCTATCAGCAAAAAAATAAGTTACCTTAATTAACTTTTCCAGTGGCGTACAGCATTCGTACGTAATACCGCATACCTCTTAAATTTTACGTCACTATCCAAAATGTTATTTGGACATAAAATTTTAAATTTTTTGATGTTTTTAAAATAAATAATGTACTCTTAGAAATTAAATAAAAAAAAAATCGAAATTTAAAAACTACAGAATTTTCTAATATGTGCGAATATCTCAAAAACTAACTCAACTTTATTTAAAAAACATCAAAAGTGGACGTGGACTAAAATTTAGAAGGAAAAAGATGTTACTGGCCCATGACGTACGCCACTGGCAAAGCTTATTTAACTTATTTTTTGCTGATAGATGTATTTTATTACACCAATAACGTTTGCCGAATTTAGTAAAATTAAACTGAGTAATAAAAAAATTGTAGCTATTTATAATTTTTGATTTTCAACTTTAAAACTCTGTTTTTCGGAAACAAGTAATGTTTTACCTACGGATGTTTCGTTTAATCGGCTTATTTCTAATCAATTAATCTTCAGTTGCTCCCATTCTTAATGGAATACCATGTATATACCGAAAGGTCTTACAGCCAAAGAACCAAATAAAAAAAGAAAAATGTACCTTATTTACCAACAATACTTTATTTAGATCTGCATCAGTAAAAAATATTTTCAAAAAATTTAATCTCATTTATATGTAAGTTGGCGTCATCGGCATACGGAAAACCTTTTTAAGAATTAAAAAAAAAAAACTTATTTTTCATAAACAATTGCATGGTCTATTAATTTTAGAAAAAAAGTTACTTTACATAAAAAGTTATGCATGGTCTAAAACCTAAATTTCAATTATCTGATATCAAATTTTATCAGTCGTATACAGGGTTTGTCGAAAATAAAGGTATTTTATCTTGAGAGCAAAATTATATTTTTTGACAAACCTTGTAAAACCGACTGATAAAATTTGCTATCTGGTGGTTGCATTTTCTGTTAGACCATGCATAAATTTTTATGAAGAATAACTTTTTTTCGTAAAATAAATAATAAAAAAGTTTTCCATTTGTTATCAACTTACATAGACCTACTGTGTGTATGCAACTTATGACATATTGCTGAGATAATGTTTTTGTAAGAAAAAAGAAATTAATCATAAAATTTTACTTCATTTGTAGAGTCGTAATTTATGTTTTCATATTTCTACTTTTTTTGTCAATTTAGAATTCCAGTACTATTTTCAATTATAAATAAAAATTACGTATTTTAGATTAATCAATAAGAAAAATAAGCATTTTTGAAATATTAATAACTAAATACAAATTAAACAACAAATTAATAAAAAAGCATTTAAAACACGTTGACTGCCGAAGCAAATGTTGTGGTTGGGTCTTAGTAAACTACAATATCTAATAGACGCATGAATAAAATATATAAACGCGGCGCGAGATTAAATTATTACAAACATAGGTCGCGTGCATATATTGTGAATAATATATTCAGGTTGTCCCATTAGTGCATAATTGTTCAATATTTTAATTTGTGTTGTAAACACGTATACAATTTGTAAATAAAAGTTATATGCATTTTAAAAATAGGTATTTTAAAGATATTTTTAGACATACAGGGTTTTGCGTTTTTGTCTGACAAATAAAACGGTATATTTTTTAAAAAGAAATCCCTGTATTTTACTTCAGTTTTTGAATGCTTTGGTAATGCTGTATTTAACCCTAGAATTTTATTAACAAATATTGCAGGGTTGCCAATAAATTAATTTTTTTTATGAAATTAGAGAATGATTCAGACCCCAAATTAAATTATCATTATTTAGGTAGGTTTAAAATAATTTCAATTTTTTTTTAAATGTAGTAATAAGATAGTAAGCTAACGAATAGTGGTAATAGAACTGGATTATTTTGTACAGTGTGTTTTGAAAAACAAGTCTTAAATATGGCTAATTCCAAGTTAAATTTATTTAATTTTTTTCAAATGCCACACCCTGTATATTATTTAAGCATTCAATTCCTTATAAATTAACATATCCAACGATATCAATAACACATATACAGGGTGTCCCATGAGTGCGTAATTGGTCGATAGCAGTTTTATAATAGGAAATACGAAAAAATTAATATAAAAGTTGTATGACCATAATTAACAGTTATTTATAAATATACAGGATAATCCATAAACGATTGTCTGACCAAACCTATACATTTTTAAAGTAAAACTTGACTGTTTTCACATCGTTTCAATAATTTCAATTTCATTCATTTGCTATGTTGTATATAGGATGTGTGAAAATGGTCACGATTTTCTTAATTTTCTAAATGGAACACCTTGTATGTTATGCCACCAATTAATATAATATTCCATTGAAAAAAATTTAAGCATATGTAACCTCGCGTGTTGACACACTCTATATAGAACATAGCAAATGAATAAAGTCAATTAAAATTATTTGACGACGTGAAAACAATCAAATATGTATAACTACCTGCAGGGTGTTTTGATTTAAAAATGTATAGGTTTGGTCAACATCTCGTTTATGGACCACCCTGTATATATAGGAATAATTTTTAATATGGTCATATAACTTTTATATTATTTTTTTTTCTTATTTCTAATAATAAAACAGCTATCGATCAATTACGCACTGATGAGACACTCTGTATATATGTTATTCTCTAACATGTTGGTATCGTTGGATATGCAAATTTAT